CGTTATTGAATTGTACATCCGTTTAAAATTCCGTCCGTCTATCGTTAGCAATGAATAAAAATATTATTTTTTGGTCAAAAATTTAAAAATAATGTAAAAACAAAAATTGAAAAGTTCTGACGGCTTCCGTCTCCAAACACTCACCGCCGCTCACCGCGGGCACTGACCTTGCAACTTCACGATCCAATCACCAGACTCCAAAACTTCTTAATGATCCTTCATCGGCAGATTGATACAGACTAGGTTGAGATGACCTCAATGCTCCTCCGTTGCCGGCGGTTGTATTGGCGTCTTTCCCAGCGAGGATCCAGCTGTGGACATTAGGGTTAGCGTTGGGCTAGCTGTCGGTACCGAGCATATGGAATCATGGAGGGAATTTGGACGGTTCGAAGAAGGATGTTCAGAGGTTGTCGAGTCCTCCTTGTTGGGTGGACCAGATTTGATAAAGGAGGCAGTTTGGAAGACGAGGAGTCCGCCGCCGAGGTCGATTTCTCCATAGGCGAAACCTTCGTCTACGGACGATCATAATGATGTGCTCGGGGAAGGAAGCTTAAATGAGGTGTGAACGGGGAGAGGTGATAACTCGATATTTGCACAGGTTTTTGTCCACCATACTTATACTGTGTGAGGCTCATTTCTCATGTGTTAAGCCAATTTCACGCTAGATTGTTCTTGTTGGTGACATTTCAGGTTCTAGTACGTGAATGAAGGCTTGAGCACGAGTCCGGGGTCGATTGGACGAAGTTAGGCCGTTCGACGGGAAGCTGAGAAAATTACGCGGCCTGCTAATGAGTTTGCGCGGCCGTGCAGTATGGTCGTGTAACTGGAATCACGCAACCATACTGGTACTGGTCGTGCAAGGGGCCGTGTGGGTAATTTAGGAGAGTTACACGGGCAAGGCTAAATTTCACGCGGCCATATGATGGCTGTGTGAATTCCCTCGACCAACTAAGTGCAATGCCGCATTTTGAGAGTTACACGGCCAGACTGGATTTCTACACGACCGTGTGGTCTGGCCGTGTAATCGGGCAAATCTGAGTTTTAACCCAATTTCGGGCTTTTGGAGAATGATGAGAGTTTTAGAGTTGAAAACAGAGTTTTAAAGAGAGAAAGTATGAACCCAACCTCCAAGGTGACCTAGATCGAGTTTTGACACCATTGGAGCTCGATTGAAGCTAGCACCGATTGGCAACCAAAAGTTGAATTTCATCCTCCACACGATGATTTCTGCATCTGAAGCTGATTTCTCTTCTCTCTATGGAGTAAACTCTCTCTCTCACCTGGGTATGAAGAATCCTAGAGTTGTATGTTAGGTTAGGTTGTATGAACCCAAGTACATGATATTTTGATATTGATTATATTCAATTGAAGCATGGTTTCAGAATTGCATTAATCTTGATCACATTCTTGTAGTTTCTGCTTTGACCTAGAAAGAGAATATCTGCATAGGTTGGTAGAGCACCCTTAATTGAAGATGGTGAATTGACTTCTTTAGTCGAGGAGTCAATTCACTGCTCTGTACTAGATTTAATCTAGTATATGAGGTTTTGCATGTTAAGGCCTCAGTTCGTCTATTCCGGTGGAGGTTAGTCGCCTGCCAGGCATTCAGACTGGGAGGGTCCGAAGACCTTTAGTCGAGACTTCAGGCTAATTAAGAACCTTCCGCAGTATAACTATCATTATATCTTAACTTGGTGAATTACAATCCGGCTTAACTGCACTCTAGGGGGAACCGTATCTGGGTGACCTCTCTCGAACTTGAATCATAACTTTACTACTTTGTGTTTGCTTAGATTAGTTATAACTTCACTACATTCAAACTGCTAGATAACGAGAACTTCACGGAGTAGTCATCATATCTAGGACCCGCGTTGACAATTAAAGGTAAACCCGCTATACTATGCATTAGTTTGTGGTTACACTTGACCACTTTCTAGTGTGATGATATCGGCTAGTCAAGAGGTCTTGATGCCTTCTCCATAGCAGCTACTGCTAACAATGATGAGAGCGGAATGAAACTACAGGGATAAATAGAAGTTGGTGAGAAATTCTTGCTTAGCTTGATTTGAACTCTAAATTAATAAATTGAGATGAGATGGATACAGTACGACGGAGGAGCAGTGGAGATTTGGAGCTCGGTGATTGGATCAGGAAGTTGCAAGGCCAGTATAGGTGGCAATTATTCAACTAATCCAATTCATTCGATCCAAATCTAATTGGAATGGTGGATTTATGGATCATTGGTAAATTACAGTTTAGTATTTTTTTACATTTTGGTACCAAAAATTTAAATTTTTATACAAAAAATATCATTGGAAATGTACGTTTTGGTACCTAAAAATTGTCATTATGACATTTTAGTACCTAAACTATTCACTTTTTACACATTGGTCCAAGGTTGAGAATGTCATTTGGATCCGTAGATAATTCACCAATCCACTTGATCCAATCCATGAATCCATTTGATCTAGTGATCCATGAATCCAATCCATTTGCCACCTCTAAAGGACAATGTCCTGGTGGGCAACGGTGAGGGTTTGTAGAGGGAGGCAGACAAAAAAATTTAATTTTTCGTTTTTTACATTATTTTTAAATTTTTTGACAAAAAAATATTTTATTCATTGTTAACGATAGGCGGACGATATTTTAAATGGATGTACAATTCAATAACGTTAATGATATCCGACACTTTATTCTAACTTAAGAGTTAAAAGGTATAGTCCTCCCAATTCTCATACTTAAATGGTTCCTGAAGTATTTTTGCTTTTGTAATTGTAATTTTTGGTTCCGATGACACTTTTTGTAAATAGAAAGTTTCACTTCATCTGGCTTTCTCTGCAGCTCGCAATCTAAAAGATGTGAGCAAGTCTTTTACTGATAGAAGTGGATTGCCTCTCATAAGATCAAATTGGATGGTCATTAATAACCTGTACATCAAAATCTTAAGCAATATTTAGTGAGTTTTCTTTTACAAAGTGCGATATGATTTTACAATTATCGTAATGTCTATTTTTTATCCAAACATTTTTCAGATTCTTTTATATTATTCAAATTTATCGAAATATTAAGAATTAGCCAAATGTTAACTTTCAGTTAGCAGTTTTGTTAGTAATATTGACTTGACAATATAATATTGACTTGGAAGAGACACATGAAGGTAAACATTCCAAAATTTTAGTATTTTAACTAAGAAAGAGTTACAATATCATTAACAATAATGTAAAATTGACAAATCTTTTGATGCATTACGAAAAATTTGGCTAATTAATAGCATTTTAATAGGTTTTGATAATATAAAAGAATCTGGAAAAAAAATGGATAAAAAATAGACATTACCCTACAATCTTTCCCTAATGCATTGCTTTCGAAAACTGACTCGCACGAAACTACACCACAAATTAATCCCGACTAGAGCCCAAGTTTTTAAACTCTAGCCCGGTGCAGTATAGAGCAAGTATTTATATTGTCAACCCAGGCCGATCCATGTACCCCTACTTCAATCGCTTAAGTTGTTATCTAGCAAAACGGATTTGGGTTTTCAAACTAATGAAACTACAAACTAAACAAGCAAAGAAAAGTAAATAAAGGAAAATTCTAACTAAGGGAGCTTCACCCAGGAGTTGCTTCCCCCTAACTAGCTACCAAGACTCGTTGGATTGAAACGATTGCTTTGGGCAAGGTAACCGCGAACTGTAGAGGGATGCATATATGGTCGGAGACCACAATCTCAATTGCTAAACCGAGGTAAACATTATAGGCCATGTCACTCGACCCTTTCGGTTTAGGCAATCGGTAGTTGACTTACTCCCTCACTCAACTCAAGGGTCGGACGACTTGATCGCGATTAACCAATTTGCTTAATTCAACATTGAGGGTTAGCCTAAATTAACCTAGTTAGGTCGCTTAAAAAGTTGAAGGAAAACCAACTCGATTGAGTCTCCCTTGGAAGGGGATTTTCCTCTCTAAGCTAGGTTAAGGTGGCTAATTAGATTGCTAGCACCAACATGCACAAACCTAAGGATGCTAAGCACAAATATGCACAATCCTTAGGTTGCTAAGCACCAAAATGCACAAAGCTAAAGATGCTAAGCACAAAACATGCACAACCCTTAGATTGCTAAGCACAAACATGCACAATCAACATGAATAATACCTTAATCATTGAATTAAACAATACCCAATGACAATCATTCAATCTAAACAAGTAATTACAAAGTATTAGTTAGGGATGGACAACACCCAAGAGAAAAGAGTGAGTTTCTAGAGAGAGAGGGGGAGGGATTGCAAATTTGAGCTCAAGATCTTCTTCTAGGCTTGAATCTCTACCCAAGCCTCCAATGATGCTCCACGATCACTCTAGCACACACTCCCTCACTAGAACTCCCCTTTGGTGTTTTTGGGCAAACCCTAGAGAGAGAAACCAATTCTTCTCCAAAAACTAGCTCTCCCTTCTCTCTTCCCGCTGTTGTCTTCATATTTGCCCGAAAGTGATCAGTTCACGGACGCGTTGGCCAGTTCACGGCCGTGAACACCTAAACGCGTCCGTGAACCCAGTCGTCTCCAAAATGCACCGCTTTGCTTCCTGGGTTCACGGTCAATGGTCCCAGTTCACGGTCTTAGAGAACGTAAACTCGCCTAGCGTCAGTAACTTCGGATTTGGCCTTGGACGCTTTGAGTTTGATGTTCACGGCCCATGCCTCCTCTTCACGGTCTTAGAAGACCGTGAACTGCCTTGTCCGACCGTGAACTGTGGCTGTTTCTTGGACGCCTCCACTTCACTGTTACAGGCTTCGGACTTTTCTTCGATTTTTGCGTTTTTTGACCTCCAAATATCCCAAAACTCGTCCTCGACCCTTCCACACATGCTAGGACCTGAAATCTATCAAAACAAGCACAACCTAGCGTGGAATATGTGTAGGAGCGATGAAATGCTAAGTTAAACGAATAAGAAATGAGGGGTAAAATGTGTATATTTGAGCCCGAATCAAAAACTCTCAGAAACAGTTGAATACTACACAACAGATGCATACATTTTTTAACATCATACCACTCACATGCCAATGGGAGAGGAAAAGAGGTACATTTACAATTGAAGCTACAAGAGTTGCACAGATACATGATTATCACCCTCATTTTCAGGTACAGTAGTACGCTGTCTCCATTACATACTTTCTGCATCTACACCTTACACAACATCGCAGTACAGAAAAACTTGACTCGAACAAAGTCGTTGGGCGGATCACCTTGCCTACTCTAATTCCTCCGCTCTTATGGTACCCCCTGCTTATTGCTTTCCTTACACAGCATTATGATCATAAAACTAGTGTGCCTCAGAAGGATACACACAAGAAGAGCATACCCCGAGAAGTACAAGTGCTGTACCCGGATTCCATGATCTTTACTTGATCGTGATGTAACGATTGGTTCCATGTTTCGCCCAATGGTTCTTGAGATCAACTGGATGGGCCAAGTCATGCCCTTCAGCCGCCAGACGACTCAGCAGCTTGCTGAATGCGCTGCCGCTCATCTTCCTCCCACCAATACGAGCGTGCCTCTTGTTTGGCACCGCGGGAAGAGGGTACATCGATAAAGTGGTCGTACAGCATGATGACTGCCACCCTCCATTGCCCCACTTGTAGCATTGCCTGAAGATTCCGGTGCACGAGCAAACCGGAGCAGGCATGGTTGAATCGTCGAATGCAATCTGGTTCAACCCGAGATCCGACCCTTTCCAGTTCGATACCACAAGCTGTTTATCGTTCAAATCTTCACCATCTCCCATGCCCATATCCTGCTCCGTCTTCCACTCGTTGCTCTCCTTTTTCACCTTTGATTTCGATGAGGACCTTTTATTGGAGCCCATTGCCTTGGTGGGGTCCTTGGGTCGTTTGCCACCGCCACGCCTGGGCTTTGCTGTCTCTGGAATGATAGCTGGCGAAGAAGTCGGGAGGGGGGAATCATTTCCTTGGATCTCATGCATGTGGGGGAGATGATGCTGGGGGTGGTGAATATGCTTCACACCTCGAGAGATTTGGCAATTTGATGGACAGGAAGAAGACATGCTGTTACTGTTAGGGAGAGAGTTGTCGCGGTACTGGAGGGTGGCAATGGCACTGTCTCGCTCCATTAGGGCATTGTTTCTCTCGGCAATAGCCGAGTCTCGCTGAAGGAACGCCATATCTCTCTCTGCTATTGCTGCCTTCTTCTCTGAGATGGCCATGTTTCGCTCATGGATTGCAGCATCTCGTTCGGCCATGATTGCCATGATTTGCTTCATGGTTGGCTGTTGCATCAGCCACTGCAATAAAAATAAGAGGAAAATATCAGCATCTACACTCGTTCACAGAGTTCAAAAATGAATAATAAACCAAAGTAAATTTGTTACTAAATACCTGACTCTGAGCTGCTTTGAACTGATCTGGTTTGTGTCGTCCATTTTCACGATGTCCTCCATCATCCATATTGACTTCAAATGCAACAATGATCTTTGCGGATAACAGATGCAAACCAATTTGAGGAGTTGTGATGCTCAGTTACCAGAGACACTACATCAAAAGATAGTATGGAAGAGAAAAAAACATCAAGCTCCATTCTGCATGGAATCAACAGCCAACTACTTTCGAATAATAAGTTAACATAACTTACAAGTAAAGAGGAGCACCAGGTTAGCACCAGAGACCAAAGCTCTGTTGCATCATGGACGTTTTCGGCACAAAGACAAGCTATACCAACAAGGAAAGGACGTCGAAAACTGCATCAATGAGCAAGGATCATCAGAATATGGCATTGTAATAAAACACGAAACATCAACTAGAAAACAAAGCAAAAGCCATACAAAAGCTTAATGAATGCTGTAATGTCGATGCTACAACAGGGAATCAGTTTGTTTACAATTTAGTTTTTACCCTTTGTCTACCAATATCTACCATTCATATAAGCTCTCAACAGTACCAACCAGCCGGGCCTTCATGCATCAACAATTTACCAACTCACTGGCTGAACATCACGGACAGCACACTCCGCTTCTGATTAGTGGACATGGTAGCAGCTTAGTCTCAGCTTCTAAAGCTTATCCTGTTCCACTACCATTACTCGTTTTCGAGCACATACCTAGCTACTGGTGCCTGAATTACAACCGAAAACCCAATGGCGATTCTACCACTACAAACGTACAATTGCCACTTCCCATAAACCAAAACATCAGAGTATTGACTAACCCAGAACCCCTAAGAGATAAAAGAAACTCAGCATTAAGTTCTGAATCGAAGCAACACTTTCGGATATACCCAAGCAGACGTTCCAAAAATCCTCTACCAAACTGAACCAAGAAAAGTCAGACTAAGCTAAAAAAAACCCAGGTACGAAGAATCAATCAACCCCAAATGCACCCTCAAAGAAAGATGGTCCGGGTTATTAGAGAAAAGCAGACAAATGCCAGTGCGGATGCTTCAAGAAGGGAGAAATGGATAAGATGATCAACAAGCTGAGAGCAGCAGCCTACAGTGTAAAGGTAATTTGAGATGCACTTAGCGAGGAAGACTAAACTTACACTGGAGAGAAGATCCGACGACTGAGGGACGAAAACCCCTAATTCCGGTGAAGAAGAAGAAGAAAGACGATGCGAAATCCGTGCGGGTTGGTAATGAATGAAGTCAAGAAGAGTAGAAGAACCAAAGAGAGAGGGACGAGGAGGGGTGAAAGGTTCGGAGGTATTTTTCTTTATTTTTTCATTTTATTATTATTCTTTGAGTAGTTTGTTATTTATTTATCCTACTTTTTTATTTGTCTTTTTTCAATCTTGGTTTTCTGTTTCTTTTCTCTCTCACTTTCTTTCATTTTAACCTGCGCGTCTTTTGTCCTTGATTGTAATTAATTATTGTATATTTTTCTCTTTCTCTTTTAGTGTCTTATTTTTTCTTTTAAATAAACACTACTGGGCCCACCCCGTTGGTCAGGAAAGTTAATTTAAAAAATTTGTGCATATAATACGCTGAAAATATAATAATAAGATAAGAAATACGTTTTCGCAAAAGAAATATAATTTTTCAAAAAAGAAAAAAAACATACATAATTAGTTTTTACTACTTAAGAAGGGTATTGTTGGGCCAAATATTGAGGCACACGGGTCCCAAGCCCACAGAGTCACCAAAAGCCCATGTAAAGGAAGGCCCACCTGAACAGGGGCAAAAGCACCATTCGAAGGCGGTCCTCACCGGCCCTCTGATGAAACCGCCCGACATCCGGGCCCGCCGAAGGCAGAAGACCGCCCGACAATACGGTCTAACGGACTTCTGTCCTTCGGGTACGGAGTCTGACAAAAGACATGACCAGAATAAGCATTTAATGAAGGCAGAGGCGACCCCGAACGCCCGACAAGCTATTAAATGCACACAACACCATCAGGACTAGTATAAATACCCAATGATAGGGCTCATTTATGGTAACTTCAACCAACTCAATTCTCTCTCTTATTTACTTACACCTCACTTCTCTCTCTAACTTGAGCGTCGGAGGAGGTCTCAGGATTCCCCTGAGGACCTTTCTGCAGGGTTTCGGAGACCGCCCTCGACCATCGAAGCCGCCCAAGGCCAGCGGAGTCTCGCAAACCGCTTGGTACATTCCGAGCACCGACAGAGGTCACCTTCTTGCCCTCTGAGCTGGCCAACGAAGAAAACTCGGAGGACCCCCTGGTCATCTCCTTTCGAACTGCCAAATTCAAAGTCACCAGGGCCCTGGTGGACAATGGGAGTTCGGCGGATATCCTATTCTACTTTGCACTCAAAGGGATGAAAAAGAGCGTCCAAGACCTCAATCCTTCCAACACCAGTTTGGTAGGATTCTCCGGCACCAAAGTCCGCGTACTCGGCTCGATCACGCTCAAAGTCACCATAGGAGAAGGAGGAATCACAAAGACCAGACCTGTGGAGTTTCACGTGGCGGATTGTCCTTCTGCGTATAATGCCATCCTCGGACGTGGATTCCTCGCTTCGTTCGAGGCGGTCGCATCCACATGCCAACAAATGCTCAAGTTCCCAAGCGGAGGACAAACCGGGCGTGTTCGAGGCAACCTAAAGGAGGCTAAAGAATGCTACCAAGCAACCATCGAACACCTCGAAGTCGATCTTGTCGACACGAGAGGGGACGTTCCAAGGCCGGAAGCGGTCGAAGGGGACGTGGCGGTCGCTCTCGATGCAGAGCGACCTGAGAGGACGGTGCGTATTTCCATGCACCTCGCCCAAGAGGAAGCCCAGAAGCTGCTCGCACTCCTCAGAGAGTTCCAAGACCTCTTCGCATGGGGGCCGGAAGACATGCCCGGAGTACCCCGTAAAGTCTCCGAGCACCGCCTCTCAGTCAAAGCCAAAGCGCGTCCCATACAACAGCGAAGGAGACATCTGTCAGTTGAAAAGCAAATGGCTCTGGAAGAAGAGGTGCGCCGACTCCTCAAAGCCGGATTCATCAGGGAGGTAAAGTATCCCACTTGGCTCTCAAATCCAGTCTTTGTACGCAAGGCTGGAGGCGCTTGGAGAATGTGCATTGACTTCACTAGCCTCAACGCGGCCTGTCCCAAGGACGTCTATCCTCTCCCCCGCATTGATCAGCTCATAGACGGGACCGCCAACCATGAAGCGCTCAGCTTCCTGGATATGTTCTCCGGATACCACCAAATCAGAATGGCAGATGAAGATCAAGAGCTCACCGCTTTCATGACTCCAATGGGCAACTTCTGCTACGTGGTTATGCCCTTCGGACTCAAAAATACGGGAGCGACATATCAGCGGATGGTGGACGCAGTCTTTAAGGAGCAAATGGGAAGGAATGTAGAGGCCTACGTCGACGACGTGCTAGTCAAAAGAAAGAAAGCAAGCGACCACCTGTCCGACCTGAGGGAAACCTTTGAAACACTACGGAAGAAAAATCTAAGGCTCAACCCACTCAAGTGCGTCTTCGGCGCCGAGGCGAGAAAATTCTTAGGGTTCATGATCACAAAAAGAGGGATAGAAGCCAACCCAAAGCAAATCGAGGCCATACGCGGCCTGAAACCGCCGAAGACCATCAAAGAAATCCAAGCGTTCAACGGAAAGATGGCCGCACTCGGAAGATTCATCCCGCGGTCCGCTGACAAATGCTCTCCTTTCTTCCAAATGCTGAAGAAATCCGCGTCAAGGCTGCAATGGGGTGCCGAGTGCGACAAAGCCTTCCAACTACTGATAGACCAGCTCAGCACACCACCTGTCTTGAGCGCTCCCGTCAGTGGAGAACGGCTCTACTTATACCTAGCGGTCTCCGAGCAAGCCGTGAGCTCCATCCTGGTGCGAAGAGCGCAAGACGGCTCTGACCGACCTGTTTACTACGTAGGCAAGGCGCTTCTTCCCGCCGAAACAAGGTACTTACCCGTTGAAAAGGCAGTTCTCGCAGTAGCCTCCGCAGCCAGAAAATTAAGGCCATACTTTCAAGAACACCCGATCACGGTGCTGTCGCACCTCCCGCTCAAAAGCATCATGAGAGGCATGGACGCCTCAGGACGGCTGACCAAGTGGGCAATCGAGCTGAGTGAATATGACATTGAGTACGCTCTGCGGCCCGCTATCAAAGGGCAAGTCCTAGCTGACTTTATCGCCGAAGGTTTCTCCCTCGAAACCACGCCCTCCGAAGAGTGCAATCAAGTGTGGCGCCTATTCATAGACGGCGCCGCCGGTAAAACCGCCTCAGGGGCAGGAGTTGTCATCGAGTCACCCGAAGGGGTAGTGCATGAAATTTCATTAAGATTCAAGGAGATCAAGACCAACAATGTCGCCGAGTACGAAGCACTAATCAATGGTCTTCGGATACTGTCCACCCTGGGGGCAACAGACGTGCAAATATTCTCCGACTCTCTCCTGGTCGTCAACCAGGTCCTCGAGGCGTTCGAAATCAAGGATGAAACGCTAGCGACGTTGGCTACCAAGGTGCGAGATTCCCTGTCTCAACTAAGTTCATGGAAACTAGAGCATGTCCGAAGAGAAGACAATCAACACGCAGACGCGCTTTCCAAACTCGCAACCGCCATGGACTTCGAGGGAGATCGGCATGTCACTGTCACTAAAGAAAGTGAATCCCCAGAAGAGGTCATGAGCATCGAAGAGGCCGCTGACTGGAGGACCCCCATGATTCAATATCTGGAACATGACGTTACACCACAAAACCCGGTCGAACGAAAAGCGCTCAAGCGAAAGGCGGCCCGGTATTCGATGGTAGACGGTCAGCTATTCAAGAGGTCGTTCTCGGGAGCCTACTTGAAGTGCCTCGGGAAGGAGGAGGCTAGGTGGACCCTAAGAGCAATACATCAGGGAACGTGTGCCACACACGCTGGTCCGAGATCGCTCGAGAGAACTGTCCTCTTGCAAGGTTACTACTGGCCTACCATCAAGAAAGACGCCTCAGACGTCGTCCTCAAATGTCACGCATGCCAAGTTCACGCTTCCAAACACCACCAACCGAGCTCCGAGCTCCAAAGCGTGGTGGGACCATGGCCATTCGCTAGGTGGGGACTCGACCTCCTGGGACCTTTTCCCACGGCTCCCCTGGGGAAGAAGTACTTGGTAGTCGCGGTTGACTACTTCACCAAGTGGATCGAAGCCGAACCGCTGGAAACCATCACTAGTGCGAGGGTGCAGAAGTTCGTATTTAACAACATCATGATCAGGTTTGGAGTTCTCCATTCGATCATCAGCGATCATGGGACGCAGTTTGACTGCCGACCGTTTGAAAACTTCTGTGCGCGAAACCGCATCATATGCACCATGGCCTCGGTAGCATACCCGCAGACCAATGGTCAAGCAGAAGCTTCCAACAAACTGATCCCCCAGGGGTTAAAAAGGCGCATCCGAGAGGCCAAAGGAGCATGGACCACCGAGCTTCCCCATATTCTATGGGTGCACCGCACCACTCACAAAACAGCCACAGGTGAAACCCCCTTCGCCCTGACTTATGGCTCGGAGGCGGTTGCCCCAGAAGAATTGAACTTACCCTCCCTTCGCGTTCAAGCATATGACCGGGAGCGCAATCATGAGAAGCTGCTAGAGCAGTTAGACATGGTTGAGTCGAGGCGAGACGCGGCCATGGAACGCATTATGCGCGAAAAGGCAAAAGTCGCAGCTTCATACAACAAGAACGTGAAGCCGCGCCCCCTCGAGGAAGGAGACTTGGTTCTTAAGCGTGACTTCCAAAAGAAAGATGAACATGGAAAACTGGCCGCCACGTGGGAGGGGCCATTTCTCATCGGAGAGAAGACGGGTCCCAACACCTTTCGCCTGGCCACCATGGAAGGCGCACCCGTATCCAATACGTGGAATGGAATGCACCTTCGGAAGTACCACACAGATGCAATCTGAGGTGCTCTTGCGTGAGCAGAGTTATTTTGAGTGGACCAAAACATTTCTCTTCCACATGTAATAGTGTATTGGTTGCTACTAAGCATCCCCTTTTGCCCAAAGTAATACACTTATTTCACTTCACGGCCTTGCCTCGATTTTTTTTTACGGAGTACTCTGTTTCCGATCCGCAAAATTGCAAGCGATCAACACAAAATCGTACTAATACCAAGCGAGTCAATAAGGAAAACACAAAGGCTTAAGTAACAAAGTCACATGATTCGCTCCAACGCGGCCATGCCAAAAGTGTTCAACAGAACAAACAAAAATCATGCAACGCGACCGCATTGTTAAGGTCGCATAAATGA